GGTCTTCTGCGAGCAATGGCAAAATGCCTCGCCGCCACACTATAGACACTGAGAATGAATGTGTTTAGTTGTTTTTTTTTAAGTTTTAGAAAGAGTTTTACGGCATTTGCAACACAATAAGGTCATATAAGTGCCGAAGATTAGAGGTGTTACAAGAGAGTAACAAACACACACACAAAAAAAAAGGAGGGGAGATAACGACGACAGATGTTTGATAGGAAAGAAGGAGCAAACCACACCAGAGCACCTGCCAACCAATCACCCACTGAGAATAAATTATGTGAAGTGTGTAAGCTTCTCCTAGTCCAACAGTACAGCATTTTCACATCATCATGTCTCGCAAGACTTTTACTTAATGAGGGGTTGGGGTTTTTTTTTGGGGGGGGGGAGCGGTGGGGGTTGTTTTTAGTTTCAGATAGATTTAGTAAGAGTTTTACGGCACTTGCAACACACATATAAGTGCCGAAGATTAGAGGTGTTACAAGAGAGTAAGAACACAAAAAGAAGGAGGGGAGATAAGGACGATAGATGATAGATAGGAAAGAAGAAGCAAGCCACACCAGAGCACCCGCCAACCACCCACTTTTTAGTTTCAGTTAGAGTGTTACAGCACTTGCAACGCAATCAGGTAATAAAAAAAATATGTGTTGAAGATCAGAGGTGTTACAAAAGAGTAACGAACACACACACAAAAAAAAGGAGGAGGAGAGATAAGGACGATAGGTTAGTAAGAACGGGCAAACCACACCAGAGCATTCGCCAACAACCCATCTTAATTAATGAAAATAAGAAGACAGACAACAAAAGACCAACTTTATGATGAGTTCAGTTTTATTTTTTACATTCGTGAACAAATTCAACACTTTCACATTATCATTCATTGAAACCCTATAGAAATAACAGCATCATGCCCGTTCATGCTCAGAAACAAACAAACAAACACACCAGCAATTATGTCGTTTGTCTTCACTGGTAAAGAGAAGAAATAATTTTTCACAATGGCATCATCCATCATAGTAGAGAGTGTTATTAGTACTACATGTATTGGTACGTCAGTGATGGATTTTACGCTCATGTGCAGGAGAGAAAATGTGAGTGTGTGTGTGTGTGCGCGCGTGAGTGAGTGTGTGTGTGTGTGTGTGTGTGTGTGTGTGTGTGTGTGTGTG